TAAATAAATAAATAAATAAATAAATAAATAAATAATAAATAAATAAATAAATAAATAATATATATATATATATATATATATATATATATATATATATATATAACTAAAAACAAGTAACACTATCTTAATACAACCAACACCAAAAATCAAGCTTAATATTACGTAATATAAACAAATTTCTTCCGTATACTCATCATGGTGTGGGATTGGCAACGGGAATTAGACATATTGAAGGACTTGTGTCCCACAAGCTCATGCAAGTTGAAATGAAATACTGCGTGTTGACCGATGAATGGCTGATATAGTAATTCTCTTTCGGGAAATCCATCATTATGTCTTCGACTTACAACTACGCTGTTAGTTGAACGTCGCAATGATGGAGTAAAAAGTACGGATGATCTTGGTGTCTTGGTTATGCTGTCCTTTAATTTGGGGAGGCAGTTTTGAGATATGGTAAATACACTGCGCAAAATTTCTCCTTTTTCTCTGAAATCCTGCTTTTTTAATGGAATAAAAATTGCAGAACTGGTTCAACTATTAGCTTCTTTCTTGATCACTGTTGAGTGAGAAAATTCCAAAATAAGGAAGTTGAAGATACGTAAGAGAATTTTACCAATGAAATTTTACAGTAAATTGAGGTATTTCGATTTCAGAATGTCGAAGTGATAATTAAATCGAATTCCGATATGTGTTTCATCTCGTCCACGAATTTATTTACAGCTGTGACATCTTCTCTAATATGGAATTCCAGTTTCTCTGCGAAAAGATATTGTCGAAATGCCACAGATCGTATGCAGCAAGAGAATAAAACGTTCTTGTTAGACATTCTGGAAATTTTAGATTGTCACTACTACTTGTGAATCAAACGATTCATTCAGTGCTTTATGCTTTGATGCATTGAAAGTTTTTGATATGGTCGTATCTTTTACGAATGTGTTATAGACATATTTGAAAACTATAATTTATGTATTATTACTAATATTAATTGGCCGTCTGATCGACATAATAACTGATTCTAAATTCTTCGATGCTTACTTGCGAACTTCAGATCTTTCCCGAACCTCTCATATTTTACGATGTCCAGAAAGTGATCACTTCCTTGTGTTGATTATAGTAGAAATGTTTTCTCAGAATATTTTGGTGATTCCATATTAGATATACTGATTAGCTGGTGTAAAGAATAGCAGTATGTAAAAAATTGTCAAATAGAGATCCTCTAAACAGTTTGAAACGACCTTTGCACACATTATATTGGAAATTTAAGTAGGAATAGCACTACTAATGGAAATTATATTGGGTTTAAAAGGAATCAGAATCTGCAGATATCTCTCGAAAACATGATAAGCGGTCAGATAACCAACATAGTAAGCATTGACTTTCTGTAATGCTTGAATCTTGATGGCTTTATTGCTTTCGACATATCCTTATGGTTTTTCACACTGAAGTTTGACTTGCCTACGGAAACAAATGCTTATCATGAATGTTATGGAATTGTTACAGATTAATTTGACTTCATAGGATTTGATTTTTCCGGTCGGATAAAATTGCATGAAATACATGCAGTATTTTGTTTTGGCTTTCCGTTATTTTGATGTTGCAGTTGTGGCAGTTTCTTTTTAGTAAAAAAGTTTTTAATAGTACCTTGTTTTTTGTGGTTTTTTTTCCCCATCGGAACTATGAGGACTTATGTGAATTGTATGAGGATTTAATTTGAATTTTATGTTTGAGAAGAATTTCCGGTCTTTGGAAATTAAAATTGGAGCATAAGTGCTAAAGCATTAATGCTGGAAGGACTAGCAAGAAATAGAGTGTGTCTTCCGGTATATTCCAAACTATGATGAAAGATTAGTTTTTCGTTACTATTTTATCTTGCTTCTCATATGAGATTTCTTTGTCATCAGAGAGGACAATTACGACATTTTTATAAAAATAACTCCGAATTATGCTGTGTGTATTCGCATTTTCGTATTTCTCTTCCATCGTAAGGAAGTCGAAACATTCATCTCTTCCGAAAATCATATTTGCCAAGATTACGATGTGTTAATACTGGTCAGTTGATAACGCTGGTGAATTAGTGAATGGGACAATTAATGTTGTGGTTATTTAATGGAAGCAGATGACGTCAAGAGTGTTTTGTATTCAATCGTTAAGTCCTGTAAACTTTCTGAAAATTTTTTTTTTGTGTGCCCAAACTTTCTAGGGCTATATTGATAATTATGTTAACATATTTATTGGTATTATCTTTCATTGAATGTGAATAATAAGTTAAAAAGGAGTTCTATGATAAGTAATTACGTTTGTATGCAAGATGAAGTGCTAAGCTATTTAAACGATATATTGGAATGACTTTTTTCAGTATTTAAGTAGTGAATGGACATTCCTAACTCACTGCTATCATAATCATGGCGAATCATTTATTTTCGCAAAAAAATTTTACCATTTGATTTTCCTTTTTTTTTTTTCTTTGCTAACAACATCCAAAAATCATTCATTAAGCATTAGAGACATGAAAATGTGCTCCAAAAATATATCTGTCTCATCAGAATGATTCTTACTGATTACAGTCATATCATTACAATTAAAAAGTGGATATCATTATTTTCCACCTTCTATAGTTGACATGATTGTATGGGGAATACATATTAGTTCAAATTTCTTCTATCTAATTTATAGCACCAAATCTTTGAATTAATGTATAAACAGGCGTTTCATAAACAGACCTCTTGCTTGATAAAACCGAAAAAAAAATCATTTGAACAATTAGTCAAAGGATTAATCGTCGTCATCATGGTCATCGTCGTCGTCGTTGTCATTCCTGTCGTTGTCGTCGTCGTTCGTTGTCGTTTTCATCATCGTCATTATCGTCTGGCAAGCCTTTTGCGAACGTGAAAGGCTATACCCACATTTACTGCAGGTGCGCTGATGGCTAAGAAAGTCAGTGTGAGTAGACATATTTGGGTAGCAAAAGGCACAGTGAAAATCTGCTTAGACAGTATTCGTCGTCGTCTCATCGTTGTCGTCTTCATCGTCGTCGTTCGTTTTTATTCGTCATCGTCGTCGTTGTTATTGCCGTTGTCGTTGTCGTCTTCGCCGTTGTTGTTGTTGTCGTCGTCGACGTCTTCGTTGCCGTTTTCATCATCGTCGTTCGTCGTTGTCTTCTCCATCATCGTCATTCGTCATCGACGTCGTCGTCGTCTTCATTACCGTCATTCGTCGTCGTCTCGTCGTTGTTGTTGTCATCGACGTCGCCATTGTCGTCGTCATTGTCGTCGTCGTCGTCGTTACCGACGTCGTCGTTATTGTCGTTTCGTCGTTTTTATCGTCGGCGTTATCGTCGTTGCTGTTGTTGTTGTTGTCGTCATCGACGTCGTCGTCTTTCCCGTCATCGTCATTCGTCGTCTCATCGTTGTCGTTTTCATCATCGTCGTTCGTCGTCGTCATCGTCTTCATCGTCGTTGTCTTCTCCATCATCGCCGTTCATCATCGTTGCCGTCGGCTACATCATCATCGTCG